TTGTTTTCCTGGCTTCATCTTGATAAGCTTCATTCTTCTGCCTTCTCTAGCAATGACCTCAACTCATTGCCTCGGAAATAACCAAAACCTTCTCTAAATCTCTTGGGTTCTTCATTTGTTTTTCCAATGGTCAACCTGAAGCACAATTTGGCCTCGTTTTGTCTTTGAAAATGTTACATATGTATACTTTTTGGATGAAGATTTTTTTTAAAGGTAAATTCGAATTTAATCATTGGATATAATGTCGTCAAACTGAAGCGAAATTTGGCCTCTTTTTGGTTGCTTTGGAAAAAATTTCAAGAATTTTAAAAACTGGTATAATTTGCAATTTAGTCGAGGTGCTTAAATTTTGGTTTCCTCGCGAATTTTCTCGTAGCAATTTTTTTTTGGGTTTGAAGCATGTTTTTATAATGCTTTAAACTCTTGAGAAAGTTGGCCTCTTTTAAATGCGTTAATCTAGTAAAAGATAGTAAGCCTTTATTGCGTTTTAAATTGCTACGATGTGCTTGTACAGTATTCACAATTGGTGAGTTTGGGGGATTAAGTAATTTCTGAATTTCACACCGTCACCATGTCAATTAAAACTGGATCCCTATTCAGTGATTCATCTTCGACATCAGCCAATCGTGCACAGCAGTAAATCAATCTTCTTGATCAAAATCTAAATATCATAATCAAAACCAAATCCCTTGTGTAACAATTTGAGCAGATAATTTTTTTTTCACTGAGAAATGGCGAGTAATTCCCACGAAATTCTATTAGTACTTCTGCTTTTTATCGTGTCAAAATTCTGAGATGAAAAAATATGGCATACAGTAGACCTACAGTATCAAAACCTAACCTCGTGAAGGGGCATGAATCCTTCCACGTCATCCATGAAACTTTAAAAACCCTGGTTTAAAGAAGTCCAGTGCACTGAAGCGAGTCCGTACATCAAATGTCGTAATCACTTTTCATCAGGATTTATGAACCGGGAAGAAATTGACAAAGCACAAGTTAACCTGAATCACAGTACAGTAGTTGCGCAGCAAAGAGGCATTGCAATGCATTTAAAACTTTTATAAACACGGCCCAGGCTTCGGAATCGCCGCAATCAGACAGACCTTAACAGCGCGAAGGCTTCCAGACACGAGCTCCAGTCGCAAGGAATATATATATATATAAATATATAACCATTTATATATATATGTGTGTGTGTTTTTTTTCCTCTCTTCTGTATACCATATCTTTCTTCTTTTATCGCCGACAAGAGAGAAAACGGCATGGAACGAGAATAGGAAGGCAAGCAGCGAGTGCAGGCACTTGTTTGACGGCTGGAAGCAGCAGGTTGCTGGGCGAGCGGAGAGCATCAAGAGGATAAGAAGTAAAGTGAGAGTAAGAACATAAAATGTACGAATAAAAGAAAGCAAGGAGAAGAAAAAATAAAGAGAGATGCCTTCCAGGTATAATAAGTGGGCCCGTGTTCGCGTACTCTCGGGGCAACACGTGCAAGAATGTCGTTCGTATATTTTTGCTCTGCTCGGACAGCAGCGGATTTCCGCCCTGGCATCCTGCTGCTGAGACTCATCTGCCCGGAAGAGGCACCCAAAAAATAAATAATGCAACAAAAATAAATGAAGAGAACCCGCATCAATTAATCAGGGTCGCTCAACTCTCGCCCTTTACCTTGTGACATTATATAGCCGAAAATCCCAGCATTTGGTCATTGCATTTTCACATCAGGCCAACTTGACCAGGTTTTCTTAAACCACTTCGTAACCCCTGCGCAAATATTACTACGAAAAAGTAGACTTTCTAAAGAGCAATTGACTGAAAATCTCTGGCGTAAAACTGAAATCACTCGCACATCCATAAAACCAGCAAACATTCATGATGTGCATCTTGACAAAATAAAATGCGACGATTTCTCCTTAAACTCCAAATACAGTATTTTCGGATTTGAAATATTTTTCGTGTCACCTTTTTTTCTAGAAAGGTAATCTAATTGACTTAAAACCCGTTCGAGTCTGGAATTTTTTAACATAACCTAACCCTAAGAGACCCTGACGCAAGAATGTTTTCCCCGATTTTTGAAAATATGCAAGTGGGTAAATTATACCTTTTTTACCTGATCTTACCTGCGTAACCCTGCATAACCAAGCTTTTAATTGCCGAGACTCTATAGTCTTGCTGTATTTCCTTGCTATTTTTCGACTTGCTCTTTCAAAGCGTGACGGAAAATACCGGACCTTCGCTGGGGATTGCAAAGAGGTCGTTCAACGCAGCGGGATGCTCAAACATAAGTATACCATTATCATAATTATTATTTGTACAGTATTTCGAAAAGAGGACTGGCAAAAGGAACGGAAGGGTTCAGACTGTGTCAAGGGGAACCCAGGAGATTAGGGCAGAGATCGGCAATAAAACTGCGGATTCGGAACGGGTTGACACCGCTTCTCCCTTCAGAATAACGCGCGTGGATGAACCCTGCACGCCGTGTTCGCGTACAGGGACATCAAAGAGGATTTCCTGCAATGCGATTTACCCACCGGGGAAAAAAAAAACTACATAAAAATAAAATACGATAAATTGACACCCAAAAAAGAAAAAAGGTAGAAGGAGAGAGAAAGACACGGGACCTGTGTGTAGCAAAAAGGCATGTGTAACCCGAGAAAGCCCCCACCGTGTGCGTCGTGCGTGTTCTTGCACAACCGCTGTGCGACGTGTTTCCCAGCTGCGTTTTTTGCCCGTTATACTCAATCGAACCCTCGTATATTTTGGAAGTGACAAAAAAAATATGAATCTGTATTTATTTGTTTCCGTTTTTCATATTCAGGACACACATTCCTTTGAGACCATTCAGATGTAAGAGAGAGAGAGAAAGAAAAGAGGACTCCCCAACTAAACAGTTGACTGAGGGGGGAATAGGGAAGCTTTGTTTCGATGTTCATTTGCAACATGACACCCATCCGTGGTTTTGTCACCGGGAAAAAAGTGCTCTAGTTGGAACATAAACGATTATTTTTACTTTTTTATTTTTCAAAATCCTGCTTAGGTGTTCAGCTGTTCGAATACCTATTTCAATTAATGCTAAGTACGAGGTTTTAACCACGGACGACCAGCTCAAAGTTATTCCTACATTTTTTGTTTTTACAAATTTGAGAGTTGTATTTTTGTTTAATCTCTCATCACTGCAGTTCTAAAACCCCCATGCTGCTTGGGGAATCCTTCAAATGAGAATAACGCCACGGAACCCTTTTGAAGAATTTGAGGACTTCGTTTCCCGTCGTAGACTACGCTTTTTTTTTTTAAATTAAAAGCATCGAAAACGCGTTATGAATAATGCTTTGAACGTTTTTTTTAACCGGCTAATTAGCTTTTTTTTTTCACCAGAACGGGAATTTCGAGGATCGTTCAAAGCCATTTCGATTCACCATCTACAGAAAAATGAAACGTTTCTGCCGGGAAACTGGATCTTTTTTAAGAATTTTTTAATACACTTCTGTATTATCTGTCAGTCTTTTTTTGGAATTATTTCGTGACACATTTCTGGTTCGAGTACGTGCATGTTACCAGAGTTTCTTATCAGTGGAATCTGGAATTTTTTCGGAAAACAAGCGTAAACTTTTACAATCTTCTGAAGATTGTGGCGGAGGTATTTGATCCCCATCATATTGGAAATTTCGAAATGGGGTACATTTGGCGTCAGAAAATGGAAATGATTTCCTATTTGACGGCAAGAACATTTTTTCCGCGTCTTGGAGAACCAGCATATATATAGTTACTTTATCCGAAACTGCAGTTTTCCACAATATCTGCGAAGTAGAGAATTTCTGCAGAAATACGCGGGAAACTTTTCCCCCCATCTTTTCCAGGCTGCGTAACTTTCACACATCCCAGCAGAAATTCATGCCGGAGAATTTCAACATTCCAGGTTCGCGCAGAAGCCTATTTGGCAGGTTTTAAACCCAGCAGGTCGGAAAAGCATCACTGGGAGGGGTTTCAGGGAAAAATGCCTCAGTGGGGGTAGGGGACACCGGAATCCGTTGCTCTGAAATGCGCCACACCGAGTCAAGCCAGACGGAAGCGCGACAAAAGCCGGAACAAGTATGAATTTCACGGCGTGGAACAGGTCTGTCTGAATGGCAATTCTCCCCCCGCATAAACCTCGGATTTTAACTGTCGTCAACGGAACAACGTCCGAATGAAAGGCGAACGGAAAAAGAGGAAAATAAGAATACGAATAATAATAATAATAATAAGTGAAATAAAAGAAGGGGGAGATGAGTTACCGGTCCCGGACCCAAAGGTTTTTCTCACGGGCTCATGCTACACTTTTCACTCCCATTGTGAGCAGTAGGGGAAATGAAAAGGAGAAAACATTTCCGACTGCTTGTCGATTATTTCAAAATTCAAAATGTCCATCACTAACAGATCAACGCGAGTATTTCTAAAATCAAAAGTAACGCATAAATCATGGCCGAGTTTGACATACAAACCGCAGTTTTTGATCTCTTTATCTTCAAAATTTAAGTAATAAATCAGTCTAGCCCAGCTAAAACCATTCTTAAAATATGATTCGCTGTCAGGTCAGGACAAAGCCTCGTGATGTCCAATAATAATCATACTTCCAATGTATTATTGCCTATCACTCGCTAAACGATCAATGCGCGTTTCTCAATTTCTGGACAATCAACTTTTTATCTCTTGAGCATCCGAGCGTTTATAAAATAAGACTTATTTTAATTCTCTCTTGATGTCATCGTTCGGCAATATGAACCACAGTTAAAAGCCAGTCCCAAAAAACTTGCGGCTTCGCGTCATTTTGGGCTGATGATGGATATTAAGAACGACGGTGGACGATCATCATCATTAATCTTTCAATGATTCTTCCACGCATTACCGAAAACAATTCTCCAGCATCTTAGTTGTCAGTCGTAATTATTTTAAGCTTCCGAATGATGTTTTACATGTTTTTAAACATGTAACAAAAAACTTCTCGATAACATAAATTTGCCTCGTTAATTAATAAATTGGTTCTGATCTGAAAATACAATAAATGAATATATTTCCTGGCTTTTTCTTGCGATGAAAAAATCGCGATGAACTCTTCGTCCGTCAAGATTAAGATCACCGAGGAGATTTATTTTTCGTTCGGTTGAATTTAAGAAGAAAAAAAATCAGGCTAAACTGCATTAGAACACAACGACGCGACACATTTTAATCTCACCTTTTACTGTTTTTATAGTGGAAATCGAATTTGCTGATCTTCTCAATCGCGTGTATCAAATTTGCTTTTTAATAAATTTCAGGATCCCCCGATTTTTGAAATTCTACGTGAATGGTCCTCATCTGATTCCATAAACTCGGTTTCAAGAAAATTTGAATTTCAGAACTCTTCTAATCGAAGCAAATTTTAAAAATTTCCTGAACCCCTGGCCTAAATTTTAAAATTTCAAAAAATTCCGCACGGAATTTCGATTGCATCCGTATTTTATATCATGTAGACGAACCTTTTCAAATAATATTCAGCCCAGGAAAGTATTAAACGGAGAAATGTGGAGGTAATCATTTTTCCTTCTTTCTAATTTTCTCTGGTGCTGCCATTAAGACGCGACATCAGAAGCAAACGCAATTAAATAATTCAAAATATTCCTTTGGAATGCTTCACAATATTTCCACATTTTCATAACTCTTCTGTAATTGCCCATTTGAGTCGGAAATTATTCAACAGTTTGATTCTTGTTCTAGAGGACCCCGTGAAAAATGTTAACATATAGGCATGGGGAGTTGTAAACATTTAATTACTGAATTTGTTTCCCGGGAAATTGAGACAATTTGGCAAAGAGGAAGAAAATCTTGACATCGAAACTGAATCTCCCGATTTGACGGGGTTCATATGCCTTTTCGGTGTGAAATCGCCAAGATCGAGGTGCAAATCATTCACCATTAATTACAGGAATAGAGAATGACTCGCTTTTCGGAATGAGGACTGATGAAGGAAATTCCAGAGGAATTCGCGCCGTTTCGTGTCATTTCACTTCAAGATGTCTGCAGATTTTTCTTTTGAATTAGCACCACCCCTGGCCCTAAATTTCCCCTGAAAATCCGGATTAAACTCATGTTCGCGTCTTTCATTTCGATGAAAACTTGGTGAACGAGACAAACGTTGCGACGCAGGTCATTAAAATTTTACAATCCCTCAATTCCTTTTAAAATCGAGTCATAAAAGAAGGTCTTCATACTTGTAAGATAAACCTGAGCAATGTCAACCCCAATTTTTCGCCACACAAACTAACAAATACCTGTGAGCATTCCGTCATTTAAGATTCACTTCAGAAACGTCTCAGCGCGTGGAAAATAAATATGATTCATCCTCAAATTTGTCTTCTCACATTCTGGATTGAAGTTCTCACTAAGAAATTGCGTAACACAGAGGTTGCATCTTGATTTGTAATGAATAAGAATATGTGAAGCTAGTGACAAACCTCTGACGGACATCGATATGCTGGCGCATTTTCTTCCATCAACTGTCCTCAATTTTCCTTAATTTCTAGACTTGGAAATGTCACAGCTCGTGGAACTGAAAATTGACTTTCCTTTTTTTATACGCGGTATTTCTCAATGTTTTCGACTTCGAATAATGTTAGTGCCCTAATAAGGGTAGTGGGGGTTTCCTGAAATCAAGACGAACTGTCAATGATCGCTGATTTTTTTTTTATATAAATCCTCTCAGCTCGTGGAACTGAATCAAAGTTCTCAATTTTTCTCTTGGACACGTACCGGGCGTAAAAGTGTTCACTTGGTAGTGGTCTAAGAAAAGTGGGGGCTTTAGAGAACCTGGCAAGATTAAACCTATACCCATTATTGGATATCTCCATGCTGTTGGATTTTGTTACGTGATCTCAATTGTTTTATTTTTCCAATGCTTGGAAACTGTCTCAGTGCGTGGAATTAATAACTTTCCTCTTAGACTCGTCATCCCGGGGGTATATGATGATGGTGGGCTGGGGTGTTTTGTTTGGTTGGTTGGTTGGTTGGTCGTGAGAAATAAAAGAGAAAATGTGTGAAGGAAATGAGGATGATGGAGACAAACACGAACCTTTGACGGAGACCTCGATGCTGGTGCGTTTCTTGCGCTTTCTTCCCTGCGCCGCGATCTTGTCGATGCTGGTGGGCGAGCCCGTGGTGGAGTCTGCTTCCTCCAGCCACTTTTGCAACAACGGCTTGAGCTTGCACATGTTCTTGAAGCTGAGCTGCAGGGCCTCGAACCTACAAATGGTCGTCTGCGAGAACACGTTTCCATAGAGGGTGCCCAGGGCGAGTCCCACATCGGCCTGCGTGAAACCCAACTTGATGCGTCGCTGCTTGAAGGACTTGGCGAACACTTCCAGGTCATCTGACGACGGCTGCTCCATGGCCACATCGTCTTGCCCATCGCCCAAATTCGGACCCATGTCCCGCATTTGCGGATACGCCGCCGGACTCAGCATGCCATTCATGGCATAATGTTGGGTGTAAGGTGCAGAGACCGGAGGGTGCCAGGGTGGCGTCATGGCAGCGTGGTGCTGCGGGCCGCGGTGGTGCAGCAACTCTGGTTGCGGCTTGATGTCCGTCAGCCCGTGGTGGTGCATGGGGGACCATGAGCCTGGATCCGGTGGTGGCGGCGGCGGCGCCGCGAGTCCCACCCACGGATTATGTGCCATGTGTTGGGGATGCGACTGTGGCATGGCGTGGTACTTCATGTCGCTGTCGCGCATGGACACGCAATACCCCTGTGAGTTCACTATGTTCATTGTGTCACTGACTGGCAAGTCGGGCGCCGGACCACTGGGCTCGCTGTCCGACAGGTTACCCGTTTCTGAACTCTCTGCCACCGCGCCCGGGCTGCTGAACGCCGTGGTTGCCATTTTTCCCGCGGCGCGAAAACCGCGAGGGACTGCCGGGGGAGTGACGCTGCCCCACGCGCCCTCCTCCGCGCCCCACAAATGGGAGGGGAGTGCCACTTGTTCCAGACTGCGAAACCCACTCAAATTTCCCTGCAAAGACGGCAGAAAAATAAAAACCCCCCACCAGACTCGGAGTCAGTCACCAACAGTCCCTCTCACCTTTCCATAGAAACACACACATGTACAGACACGGGCGCGACAAAAGGGATGTACGGAGAGAGAGAGAGAGAGAGAGAGAGGGAGGAAAAAAAAGCGACCTCCCCCTTTTCGGAGCGTTTGGCCGCACTCCCTCTCGCGGCGCGACTGGCGACTTCAGCACTGAGTTCCGAGTCGGCGGCTTGTGTGTGTGCTTGGGCGCGAAACCCGCGAGGCGAGCTGTGATTGGTCCGACGCGAGGCGCGCGAACCGTGACGTCACCGACAGCGCGCCCCGCTGACCGCGCCCACCCTCTCTCCCTGCCAACCGTTCAACTCCGTGCTGAACAGACGAAAACTCCCTCTCTCTCTCTCTCTGCATGTGAGCCGCTGGACTCAAGACACCAGCTCCCTCTCCTCCCCCCTCCTCTCTCTCTCTATCATATCTTTCCTCAATACAAACCGCATACTTTTTCCTCAGTTCCAAGTCTCTTGTGGGAGAACAACAGGAACCCAGACAAAGTCTTCTCACTTGCATTCAGAGTCAAGTAGATAAAAGAAACAAGAAAAGAAGATTCTATCCCAGGAGGTTTTGACGCATGGGGTTGAAACTGCATAAATTTAACCTCAGACAAGGAATGGTTTAGCTTGTATCAGTTGCGACGATGAGCTAAAGTGTGCGATAATTGATTCACAGTATTTTATTTTATTTTATTTTATGGGACAAGGGTCATCTTCTTTCATAAATGCATACACCTTTGACGTGAAAGATTTTATACAGTAATTAGATTGCATATGGAGATGTTATCATTGATCTGAATGTATCAAATGTTTGTCCCTATTGCCCTGCAGAATTAATTTTATTACACTCGAGAAGACGGGTCATGCGATTCAATTTATTCAAATGTTTTCACACTGCAGTACAGTACAGGACAGTAATTAATTTCCAGGCAGATCATTGGCTTCTATTGAAGACTGCAATAAGTGACGAGACGATGAATGAACTTGAGCCTGTTTCATATTCAATGAAGTGCTGATAAGAACTTAAATTTCATACTTTTCAATGGTAACGCTCGTGAGCTTTCGTCTGGTTGCACTAACATTTTTGAATTGATCATGAGATAACTACTATATTTTATTTCACGCTGTAAATCGTTAATTCGGTTATCTCTTGGAATAGTTTAATTTCTTTGAGAACATAGAAAATTGGCTGGGAATTCACAGAATGCATTCATTTTTTTTCTTAGTGCAGTTTTAGAACACAAACTCTGGGGTTTTTGGATTGAAGGAATGATGTTTCACTTCATCAACCTTTCCCAGGTTTTTAATGCGAGGTATTTCAGGAGCAGATTATTTATTTATTGGAGTATTTTTGGATGATAAAATGCAGACGAACCTGTACGATTTGAAAAGCCGAGTTTGAAGTTATCATGTCAAGTAGTCTTCGGTGCAAATCACTTGTTGCTGAGCTGGGAATCGGAACAAAACGAAACCAACACACGTCACCCAACGGATTCCTTATTTACGGAGGAAAAAAAAATGCAACTTTCATCAAATAATTTCTGTTGAAACTTAATTTCTCGAGATGGATTTTCCTCTCTTTCTCTCAAAACAATTCAAACATGAGAAGGAACTTACCTTGACTTGCTTGCGGAAGCTCAGCTTATTGGGATTTTCACGACTCGATCACACGAAGACTCCAGTTGAGGACACACAAAACCGACGAACTTCACACAACTGCTGTTTATTTATTTATTTGTTTCTTTTTGTTTTTCTCGACAGCAAAAATGGTTTTCTTTCACTCGCCTGGTTTCCTTTGCGGAGAACACTGCCGTCAGAATTCACACCTCTCATTTGCTTTCACCGAAACTGATTTTCGCGCTCGAAACGCTGTTCGAATTCGCAGGCCGATTTTTTTTTCTGACTTTGAAACTGTACCTAGTTCACACAATCATATTCAATCAATCAATCAAGTAATTGTGTTGTCCAGAATTTCACTGCTCGAACGGTTTCGCAGTGATTTATTTTTTTTCTGCCCGCGCGAGACAACTTTGACACTTGTCGCGCGCAGAATAGGTCAAGCAAGACGGATGGCTTTGAAGTTTTACCAGTACCTTGAAATGAGGTTCTTCAGGTACTCATCTTTATGAGCCAAAATTCTCTGACGATCATGGAGTCGTTAGCGAACCTATAATTAACTTATTTAGTTTTTGAAGATTTTTTTTTAATTGCTGCACTGAATCGGGTCACTTTAATAATGTGCGTCAATTGGGATTTGAAAGCAACCCTAACGAATGGACGACTCAAGCAAACAGCTCAAGAATTGGAACAATTTTGAGAAAAGCAGGGATATTGTATTGTTTGCTTAGAATATTTTTAGCACTGCGATTGTAAGGAAACGTTCAATCCAATTCGATGTTGAAGATTCATTTTCAACTCTTCGCTTCGGCTTCATTTTATTATGGATGAGAAACATTGAAGCCGTGATCAATGATTTGAACTCAAATATGTCATCATAGAAAATATACACTCATCTCTAGCCATCCCAGAGAAGTACAATATTTACAAAAAACAGTTTGTGAACCAACCTGCGTAAAGTCATGAACTTTTTTGAGTGATTTTAAAGAAAACTTCACCAGAAGGACTTTCCAGACTGTGTTCAATTGATTTTCTTTCGCGCCGTGACGCAGAAAGAAATCAGATAAACCGCGAAATAATGTCTTATTTTCACATTAAACTGCACACGCGGATTACAACAACTTTTTCGGTGTTCCACATTTTTTTTAAAGGAAGAATGAATCGCGTCACGGGAGAGATATCAACTATAGACAGTACAGGTATTCGACGTCAGGTTGTTCCGACTATATACGCCGTCGAGGATTACTTTTTCACTATGTATCGTCACTGATTTTTTTTTTCACTGCGTCGTCAGGGATTTTTTTTTTCTATCTGTTGGTTTATGCGCAATCGCGGCGGGAAAACGTCGAAGTGTCGAGGGACAAATCGAAGCGCCGAGTGGCCGGAATCCACGGGGACGCCTAAGCATTTTTTCACCGCCGCTCCTGAATAAAACCGCGCGAGATATACGCCAGAGACAAGGTTCAAAAACGGGAGCGGTGGCACAGGGAAGAAGACACACGCAGCAAACAAAAAAAGGAAAGAAAGGTGACGACAGAGACGAGCGAGGGAAGGGAAACACACACGGAACAGAGAGAAGCAAAAAATAATAATAATTGGGCTCATTATTTCCCGCCATGACGACTGGGCAATGAATCCCGTGATCCTGTTTACACGCGGCTAGAAACAAAGTGCTGGCAATTTTTACGACCCCGAAAAGAGCGCGTTTTCTTCTTCTTCTTCTTCTTCTTCTTCTCCTCCTGGTGGTGGTGGGGAAGGCAAAGAAATACTATACTTTGAAGGGAAGATCGGGGCAGATTTATTCTGAAAACGGAGAGGAATAAAATTTGCATTGCAAAACAGGTTCGATCCGTCTGGAGAAAACTGCTCCGTTTCTTGCTGCCGATGGCGGAAACTGCTCATTCGTTTCGAAATTTCTCTGCCGTCTTCCCGTCGTTTTATTTTTCCTGCAGAAAATCTGCGATTTCTCTCATTGTTGGGTCCCTGCTTTCTGCGCAAGAACGACTTTCAACTAAGCAGAAATTCACGAGCCGGAGAAAATGGCGAATGCATTGGCGAAAAGGGGAGCATGCAATGAACGAAAGAAATGGAAGAATAACTTCTAATGCACATTTAAGTTTCTTGTTACGAAAATCTCCCTTTTGAGATGATGATGAAAAGATGAAATTCTTATCCATACAACTCCGAAGAATGTCCATGCTGTCAAGACACTTTAGAGTGGGATTCTTCATTTTTATTCCCGATTCCTACTGATTATTAACTTCCGAATCCAACTCGCTCCAAAGAAATTCTCAACCTAAACGAACAAAAATTACGAAAGAATACGAAAAACAAAAAAAAAACGAACTTTAACAGCAAATATTTTTCAAAATTGTCTGAAAGGTTTTGACATTATTCCTCGCCATCCAACTCTAAAAAGCTCGTAGTGTCCAATAAGACAGGATTAATTCAATTAATAGCTTTTTTATTTGTTTCCGAATTATATTATTTTACTGCTTTCAACTAAAATTCACGACCTAAAAACTGAAAAAGGAAATATAAACGTTTATACTGTAACAATCAGATTGACTTGCAACGCATTCGGATGTTTTCTTTTATAGTTCTGATGTCCTTATTTTTAAAAGAAGGATCATTCTTTCGTAGAATCAACCCTTTTTGATTGAAAATTGCAGAAAACAAGAAAACCCATTTCAAGCAGTAATCAATAAAATTACCCGAAGACGTGTTCCAGGAAAATTCCGAGCCAACAGGAAGAACTTCCTCAACCTGTCGTCGCTTCCTCATCGCGGCGAGGTTTTCCAGCGCGGAAACTGGCAAAAGTTTCCAGTGTGTGTGTGCCAAGAAAGGAAGCAGGGAACGGGAGAAGTGCTAATAAACCCCCCCTTCAAACCCACAGAAGAAGAGCCTGGGAAGTTTCTACATGGAGAAACCCCCCAGGAAAATCAGCTGACTCGTTTGCATGTCCCACTATGAAAAGGCGAGGATGAGAGAGAGGGGTTTTGCGCTCGTACGTGCGGGGGTGCATCAGACCGGGTCGAAGCCCCCGGGATGCGTGCCCGGAATTTGATCACGTCTTGGGTCATATTCGCCATTCTCTAACCCCCCCCCCCCCCAACGGGATTTCGTCTCGCGAAATTTTGCACACACTGAACATACTGTTGTACTTCAAAAATTCATGAAACAAATTTATTCATTTGGGGATATTCCAATTTTTCCCCTGCAGGTATCCTATTTTTTTTCTGGGTTTCCTTCCTGCCATTAAAAAGAGCACTTCTGGATCCATATCTTCAGCTCACAGCAGTGGCAAATAATTCACTCGAAG